GTTCTGTAGCCAGGTTCTGTCTCTAGGTTCTTCAGCCAGGTTCTCTCGCTAGGTTCTGTCTCTAGGTTCTGTGGCCAGTTTCGGTCCAGGATCTTTTGCCATGTTCTGTCTCTAGGTTCTGTCCCTAGGTTCTGTGGCCAGTTTCTGTCCAGGATCTTTTGCCATGTTCTCTCGTTAGGTTCTGTCTCTAGGTTCTGTCTCTAGGTTCTGAGGCCAGTTTCTGTCCAGGATCTTTTGCCATGTTCTCTCCAGCGAAGTTCTTCTGTCTCTAGGTTCTGTGTCTAGGTTCTGTGTCCTGTTGTCTTGTTACATCTGTATTTATACCAGTTGATTCCAATCCTATCAATCTCTATTCCAAAGGTTAGGGCGTTTCTTATCTCCATTCCAGGGAGTAAAGATTATGTAGCTTAAGCATGATTGTTCGTAGTTAAAGTGATTAATTACCCGCCTGGCACTTAGTTAAGGGGTTTTATTCCCTCCCTAACTTCAGGGGAAAATCCCTACCTGGGGAAACAACCTTTCTCAGAGAGGTGACCTTGGTTAAAACACATAGTGCCAAGAAGGTGAGCAAACATATTAAGAACAGTATGCCATATATGCCAGGTCCCTTGAAACAGCAAGGATGGACCGGCTCCCGGCATTTAACCAACAGGCCATCCCCCCCATCCCCTCCACCCCCCCTCAGGGCTGGGGCCTGCACCAGCCTCCTGGACAAGGTTGGACAGCATGCCAGGTAAGGTTGCAAGGCTGGAGGAAGAGGAGGAGAGCAGAGAGGAGGAGGTGATGGAAATGGGGGGGGGGGGGGACTACAGAAGGACCCACACACAGGGGAAGCCGCTAAGCCAGGGCCCTTAGAGAGTCCTGCAGGTCGCTCACTGCATGAAGGTGTCCTGCTGGGAGGCGTGCAAGAATTGAAACCGACACACTCCCCTTTCCTGCCCAGGCTGGGACCACAGAGGAAGTGCTGTCCAGGGGAAGAGCCGGCCCTTCCTTTAGGACCACCTCACGATTCTGTGCCTTCACACTTTCCCCACACCCGCCTGCCCCTGTTTCTGTCCTAACCCGGATGGGAGAAGGTGTGCCTCATGGGAAGCGGACCCAGAGCCACTCTCCCAGCGGGGTGAAGGGCCCGATCTGTAGAAACTGGATAACGGCCGCCTCTCCTCTGGGGGTGGGTATGAAACAACTGTGGCCCAGGAAGGGCCAGGGACCGGCCAGGGTCCCCAAGAGCCAACAACTCTCTGCCAGGCCCAAGGGCCCCCTGATATCTGTTGAGGAAGCCCATGTTGGTTGGGTTGTGCGCTCTTTGTCATCAAATCTACTAAAGACTGTGACTGGATCTGAGCTGTTTGGAGGAAGCATAAGGAGGCCAGTAATGGTCCAGTCTTAACAAAATAAAATTTTATGTTCCTTAAATACATGAAGTCACCCTGAACGGCCATTAACAAAGCATGGCCAAGAGAAGGTACTGCTGCTTCCGAGATAAGGTCAGAGTTTGCTTGTGATTGGCATGCTAACTGCTCCCATAAAATCAGGTGTTGCCAAAGGGTACCACACTCCCTCTGCCATCTGGAGCACAACCCACACCCGGAAGCCAGGAGCTCCTGTTATTATTGTCTCGTTCCCACTAGGAGTTTGTTCAGCACATGTTCCCATCAGCAGGGTTCAATTCCTCTCTCGCCTTGAGAAAGCATCACAAATTCTAAATTAGAGGGGTCTGAGCTAACAAGGGCCTCTCTCTCCACTTCTTAGGTTTCCTCCATTGTGTGTTTCTCATCCCACCACTGTCCCAGCTAGACCTTCAATTCCGTGGAGACAGGGACCGTGTCTTCTGTTTCATGCGTTCAACAGGTATTGATTGACCACCTGTCCTGGGTTGTACCAGGTGCTTTGGGGAATACAAAACATGGGAAAGACACAGTCTCCGCCTTCCAGGAAGAGGCAATGACCCTGTTGTGACCACATGGCTTTGCTTTATGGAGTCATCAATGTTTTCAGGGTTATTTTAGATACTAGTTCATTGGGATATTCACAAGGGTCCTGAAGAGAAGGCAGAGCTATTATTGTTCTCATTTGTCAGACAAGTAAACTGAGGCCCAAAGAGGCTAACTGACTCCCTTGGAGCCACACAGGCTGTTGGTGATGGAGCTTGGGCCAGAACCACCACCACCTCTGTTCTTGCCAACAGCGGGAAGTTAGGCCTGTATGTACTCACACGACCCCCTGCTCACACATCTGAGGGGGTTGGGCTGTGCCCCCATCCTCTCTGGCCCAGCCCTGTATCGCATAGCAGCAAACATCCCCTCTCCAGTATATACAGTTTAAGCAAACACAGCTTCACGACTCATTCGACACTAAAGCAAGAAAATGATAAAAAGCAATGAAAAAAATTTGGCATTTGGCCAAATGCTCACAAGAGAAGAAGGGGCCTTACTGACAGGAAGCACCTCCCCATCCCTGCGCCCACCCCCCCCCCACACACACACACACACTCAGTGCCTTCCACAGGAGCTCCGTGAAGGAGTATATGTTCAGTGGGTGGTTCTTGCTTGTAGTTTTAAAGAACACAGGGGCCCCTGGTTGGATATAACATTGTCATACGAGCTCTCTGGGGGCAAGGAACCTCTCCCATCCCAGGAGGCAGCCAGCTGGCGACTGATTTTGTCTGCAGCACACACCAGCCTCTCCTCTCTAACCTCAAGGAGCCTAGTGTGATGTTGATGGCTTGGTGCTACTCCTCCCATGCTAGGGACAGGGTTCTAGGGCAGAAAGGGGAGCCAGGTGAACTGAACTACGAAGGGGCATTGGGTGTCCCCACTTCTTTATCACAAGCCAATCCCTTTATTCCTCTGCCTGGAATGTTCCCGAAGGATGATGCTGGCTCCTCTGCATGGATGCATGGATGTGGCGGGCCAGGCTGCGGGTGGTATGGGAGGGTGAGAAGGCGGCAGATGTGGCCACCTGGCCTTCACTCCCACAGCCCCCGGTGGGTTGGGAGTGGGCAATAAATTTGAAGAGCTAAAGAGTCCATATGGACGGAAATGACTTCTGGGGAGGAGGAAGGTTAGGGCCTGGAGAAATGTCTCTCTTTTCTGGGGAGGTTTTATCTCAGGACATCTGAGGCTCTCACACTTGAGTGTGCATCTGCAGCCCCCGGGGCCTCAGGAGAACGCAGATTCTGAGGACTCACCCTCAGAGTTTCTGATTCAGCAGGTCTGGGGCCCGGGTGGGGGGCGGAGGGCGGGTAGAGAGAATGTTTGTTTTTATCAGTTCCCAGGTGATGCTGAGGCTGCTGGTCCAGGCCCACACCTTGGGAACAACTGGAGCTTTCCAGAGACATGGACAAGATGGCCTGCTCTGTGGGGAAGTTCAGAACAGAGGCCAGCAAATGGCTGTTTCCGTGGGCCTCTGGCTCGCTGGGAGTGGTCTGGGGTGGTAAGGCAGGCAGTGCACACATGGTGTCTCAGTCTTCCTCCTTCCATCTCATCAGGGAGCAGGGAGAGGGAAGGCTGGGGTTAGAGATCAGGTGTGGCCTCCTGAAAGTACATGCACGCGTGCGTGCGTGTGTGCGTGTGGCGGTGGCAGGGGGAGGGTAGCAAGGGGATGGAGCTAGCCTTTGCCTGCCCCAGGAGTTCATCAAAATGCTGACTCTGACTCCATTTCCCACTGTTTGACCTCAAATAAGTGTCCACAGCTGTCTAAGATTCTTTTTCTCTACTGTGAAAGTAATTTATGGGGATTCCCCTCACAGTCTCTCCATCACCCAGTTCATACCCAACCTTCATGCCAAGAAAACCCCCCACCTCCTCCAGGAAGGCTTCCCTGATTGCTCCAGTCCTTCTCTGCCTCTGCCCCTGGCTCTCTCCATGCCTCAAAGGCTAGACCACATGTGTTACTCCCCCTATTTAGCCCACAGTGGCCTTCACATAGCCTGGCCACAGTAGGTGCTTAGTAAATAATACTGAGCTGAATTTAATTTAGAGCAGAGCTAAGAGAACCAGGAGTGGGAGGCAAGGAATGGCAAGGCCATGGGCTCCCAACTGCTGAGCTAAAAGTGGAAAGAACAGTCACAGCCCCGGAGGCTTGGCCTTCTTCCTTCTCTCACCATCTGCTTTGCAAGAAAGGGAGCAGAGAAAGGCCACAGCACATGTTACTCACTGAAGTCATGGGTTGAGGCAGTTAGAGATGGGGGGTGGGGGAGGAAACCAACCTTCCTGTCTCAGTGGATGGCCCCTCCAGCTACCCCGCTTATTCAGGCCCCAAACTTATGACAGTCCCTGCCTCTCACCCCACATCCAGTCTGGTAGGAAGACCTGGCAACTCTCCTGCAACACAGACTCAAATTCACCCTCTTCTCTCCATCTCACTGAAGCGGCGCCTGCCCAGACCTCCTCCTTCACTCCCCGGGACCCCCGAAATGGTCTCCTCTCTCGACGTTCTGCGCCTCTTCTGTTCTCTGGAATTCACTCCAGCATGAATGATATTGCAAAAATGTCCATTAGTCACACCACTTTATTCCTTAAAGCCTTTCAAAAGTGTCCCCGCCACTCCTGAAACAAAATCCAGACTCCTGGCCATGGCCGTCCAGGCCCTTTCTGAGCTGGGCCATAGTAGGTGCTCAGGAAATAATGTTGAGCTGCTCCAACCTCACATCTCCTAGTTCTCTTGCTGCTCTTCTTTCACTCCCTGCACAATGGACACATCAGCTCCCAGGCATTCCTGGCCCAGCCCCACCCTGGCCTTCGGGCACTGGCTTTCCCTCTGCCAGGATGCCCTCCCTGTGGCTGTTCAGGGAGCAGTTCGTGCACCTACAACTCAGGTGCACACTGCAAAGTGCTGGCCACCGTTTGGTTGTTGCTGACCCCAGGAGGGATAGAGAGAAAGAATTTCTGACCCCAATGCAACCAGAAGGGGACAGATTCCAAAGAAAGTAGATGCCCAATCTCCCCCCACCCCCTCTCGCCCCGCGCCCCACATCGGAGACACAGACTCCTCTGAAGTCCAGATGCTCAGGGATTCCTCTGTGCGCCCTGAAAGGGCCAGAGCCCCACCTCATGCCTGGGTGGGCATGGGACACACCCGGGAGGAAGGCCAGCTGTCATTCACATCATAGTCAATAGTAACCTCCCCTCTGATGATGGTGCCCGGTAGCTGTGTAGTGAATGGCCTACGAAGCCCCAGGCAGTGACCCAGGGAAGTTACTACTAGAATCTGTTTCCCAGGGGAGCTGGGAAAGAGACCAGTGAGGTCTTTTTACTGGGAGGAGGGGGTCAGTGAGAAAATGAAATGCATGTCCACCCTCATGTTCTCCATGGTTTTTGTAGGTGGGTGATGGGCACGGCTGGGAAAGGTGGAGGATCTCAATATCACAAGACATTTCCCTGATCTTCCAGCTGTACCTCACGCTTTTGTTGCTACAAGGTCTCTGGTTTAGATACTAAATCTGAAGTGGTCAATAAACAAAATGACAGCATCTGACCCCCATCTCCCCAGCATCACCTCCGATCCTACTTCCCATCCAATGGGATACTGAACTGATAGACCAACCCCTGTGTCACAGGGCGTGGGGACAATCACATAAACAAGCAGCCATAAAGCACCCAGCACAGCGCCCCTCATAGGCCTCCTAGTGTGTTCTCTTGATGGGGCGGGGGCTGGGACGGGGGTTTTTGGAACAAGGAGGACTTCCTGGCACCTTTAAAATTACGCTGTAAAGAGAAAGAATTAGAAGAAAGAACAGAAAAGGGGGGGTGACAGTTCTGCTTCTCGATATGCTTCTAATTTGGAGATCCTGGCAAAGGGCTGAGACAGCGTGGCAGGGTGAGAGGAGCACTGACCCAGAGCCAGGAGCCTGGGGTCTGGAAGCTGCTCCGTCGCAGCCTCGGGGCTTTCGGGGGTGGGGGATAGGGAAACCCCACCCCCACCTAATGTCCCCTCTTCACACAAAGGGGCCGAGGGGAGAGCACCCCCAGCCTGCTCCCGCCCAGCGCTGCGAGTCTGGGATTCTATTTAAGAGCACGTAGCCCATATGGTTCCCATTGAGGAGACTGCATTTTCTCAAGTGCCGCCCCCCCCCTGCAATCCAGATTCCCACCATGTGACCCCATCTTCTCCCAATGGTGTTCCGTTTTATGGCTTGTTGCTCTGTGTGCGTGATTTGAGCTTGGGGACTTTTTTTTTATCCCCCACACAGAGATTTCCCTCCCTTTTCCAGAAAACGTGGAGCGTGAACTTTTGACTGCCTGCAACCCTCAGGGGGACGGCAGTGAGGACAGAGGGCAGGAGGAGATGGATGTGTCCGCCTGTCTCCTGCTGCCGATTTCTCTGCTTCTTCATTTGTTTCTTCTCTGTTTGAAGCGCTGCTCCTGAAGGCCACTCACATGAATCATTCGAGAGCTGAGGCCAGAGAGAAGGCTGGAGAGAAGGAATAGGTTCAGTTCAACAGTTCAACCAACATTTATGGAGCTGCTCGGGCCTGTGCATGCTGGGGTGGCCAAGGGGAGAGGCCAGGCTCAGGGCCGGAGGAGGCCACAGGCTGGCAGGAGAGGCACAGGAGCACCCAAAGATCCCACTCCCTGGCTAACCCCTCTTGGGCTGTTCACAGGGCCTGGGAGAGAACAGGGAGAGATGAGAAGCCCACGTGACAGGGAGGGGCCCAGAGAAGGCTTCCTAGAAGATTCCACATCCAGTCATTGGTTTGTTCAGTCATTCCACAATTATTGATCAATCCCCTTGTAGGTGCCAGGCCCTGTGCTGTGTACACTGTGGATAGAGTGGTGAGTAAACAAACGTGGTTCCTGCACTCAGCCTCGAGGAAGAGAAAAAACATAGAACAGAAAATATAGTCATAACGTGTGAAAGTGCTAACAGCAAATGCAAAGGGGTCTCACCTAAATCGGCTGATTCTTCAGGAAGTGACATTTAAGCAAGAGTGAAAGAAAGAGTAGGAGTTAGTAGGGAGTAGGAGTTAGTAGGGAGTAGGAGTTAATAGGGAGTAGGAGTTAGTAGGGAGTAGGAGTTAGTAGGGAGTAGGAGTTAGTAGGGAGTAGGAGTTAGTAGGGAGTAGGAGTTAGCAGGGGAAAATACATACCAAGGTGCTCATGCCCAAAAGAGCTTTACTCCTTCAAGCACCTCAAAGAAGGGCCATGTGTTGAGAAGATGGAGGTGGGAGCAGAGCATGATCCAGAAGAGGTTGGCCAGCTCATCCCTGCCATGGTGAGCACAGGACTCAGCCTGAGGTCAAGGTCAGAGGTCATTCTGAGGTCAAATTTAGGGGTCAGTTTGAAGTTGGGCTTAGTGTTTAGCCTATGGCCAGGGTTTCGTCTTTGATGCCAGAATCAGGACTTGGTCTGTGGCCAGGTTAGAGTCAGTCTGAATCCAGAGCCAGAGTCATTCTGAGGTCAAGTTTAGGGGTCAATTTGAGGACAGCATTAAGATCAGTCACTCATTAAATATTCACTGAGCATCTCTCTGGCTGACTCCTGGCCTTCCTGGAACTTCTAGTTGAATGGGGAGGACAGTCATTAAAGAGGGAATTGCCCGAGTAGTTAGTTCATTAACTGCCACTGCCATGAGTGCTATGGAGGAGGATGCTAGATGTCCTGAGACCTCAGAGGAGGCTATTGTTCCAGTTACTACGGCCAGGTAGTAAATGACCCCACAACTTCGCAGCTTAGAACAAGCCTATGTTATGCTCACAGAATTTGAAAACCAGAAAAGGCATGGTAAGGGTGGCTTGTCTCTGCTCCATGCTGCCTGGGGCTTCAGCTGGGTAGACTGGAAGGGTGGGAGTGGCTGGGTAGCTGGGAACCGGAATCATCGAAAGGCTCCTCATTCACATGCCTGGCACAGGGGCCAAGCCTGATGGCCAGAGCACCTCTGTGGGGTGTCTCCATGTGGCTTGGCTTCCTCACAGCATGGTGACTTCAAGGTGTCTGGACTGCTTACATATTCACAGCTGTTACGGGGGACAGGCAGAAGCTGCCTCATCTTCTGTGACCCATCTTCAAAGTCACACAGCATCACTGGTCCTGTGCCCACCAAGAAACAAGGGAAGAGGAATTAGACTCTAACCCATTGGGCAGTAGTATGGTATTCCTATAGAACACGTGGATCGGAGATACTTGGAAATGTCTGGGAAATACCATCAGCCACAGATACAAGCAAAGGGCCGGTCAGTTTGGGCTATGGTAAGGGGTCTATCCCTGAACAGCATTAGAACGAGGACAAGACAGTTTGCTCCTGGAATGCACACAGGCCTCCAGCACAGTGGGAGCTATTCACTTAGCCCTGCAGCCCCAAGGCCACAGGACACACTCGGGGTGGAGGAGAGGATTCAGAATTGATGAGAGGATTCAGAATTGAAAACCCATCCTCTTCTTCCCAGGAGAGAGGGCTGGCTGTGTCCCAAGTCCTGGCTCCACTTCCTTACTGCAGCATCAGTTGTCCCTTTGTAAAATGGGGTCAAGTTCTCCTGGCCTGGGTAGATTGGAGGCTGGCATAATCCAGGCTGATTTCGGGTTCCCTGAAGCTTGAGGAGCCTATAGATGGGCCTAACGTTGATTAAATGCCATATTTTTTTAAATATATTTTATTGATTTTTTACAGAGAGGAAGGGAGAGAAATAGAGAGAGTTAGAAACATCGATGCACATCTCCTATTGGGGATGTGCCCGCAACCCAGGTACATGCCCTTGATCGGAATCGAACCTGGGACCTTTCGGTCCACAGGCCGACGCTCTATCCACTGAGCCAAACCGGTTTCAGCTAAATGCCATATTTTAAAAAACCTTTGGTACCTTACAGATGGTAAGTTAATAACATTTTGCTGATGAAATAAAAAGTTTTGTGAATCAAATTCCATATGAAATACCTCAGGGAACGCCTTGCCTTTATGGAATCCTGTGGTAAAGTCTTCCAAAATGAAGAGTAGGCTATGAAATTAGGAATTTCTCCCACTCTGGCTTTTTTGAAAATACAGATTTGTGTCAGCCTGGTTAGGGGAAGCAGAGGCTCTCCCTCTCAAGATCTAGAGTCAGATAAAACATTTCCTTTCCTCGCACTGGTCTCTCTCTACCATCTGGAGCATCGCCACTTGTCCTGGGGACGGAGAGGAAAATAAATGGGTCCAACAGCAGGGAGGAGCCCCCCAACCAGAAGTGGGCATGGCTTGAGCTCGGTGGGTCTCTGGGAAGCATGAGAACACCTGGAGCAGGTACCAACCTGGAGACTGTGAGGTTGAAATTGGAGCAAGGCTGCCTCGGGGACTCCTTCAGGTGGGAGTTTAAAGAGCTTCGTGCATGAGCTCTGGGCACTGGCCATGGTTCAGCTGCTAACTCCCTGAGTGGTCTTGGGGCCTCTCTCTGGGCTTCAGTTTCCTCCCCTGGCGGAGTCAATTCTGAGTCCATCTCACAGCTCTTGGGCCCTGTCCCCAACAACAAACCACCCCACCCCACTCCACCCCTTTGCAAAGGCTGGAGTTCTGCAGCAGTCCGGCATGACCTCCTTCTTCACTGGCCTTGGGAAACTCCCTGAAGTTGGCCCCAGGGCCAGGGTCAAGCGGGAAGTGTGGCCCAGATGAACTCATGTTGGGCTCTTGCCCTGCAATTCATCCCTTTGCAGGCAGCTCAGTGACTCACCTCAGGGGAGGAAGAACCAAGGCCATTTGAAAACCGAAAGCCCTGTGGGGCTCTTCTCTTCCAAAGGCCCCGAGAACAAGCCTTTGGCAACTCTGAGCTCTTCCCTTCCCAAGGACTCAAAAGGAAAAGCTAGCCCAGCTGGTGTGGCTCAGCAGTTGAGTGTTGACTTATGAACCAGGAGGTCATGGTTCAATTCCCGGTCAGGCACATGCCCGGGTTGCAGGCTTGATCCCCAGTAGGAGGTGTGTAGGAGACAGCAGATCAATGATTCTCATCATTTAGGTTTCTGATTTTCTAACCATATATATATATATATATATATATATATATATATATATATATATATTTTTTTTTTTTTTTTTTTTTAAAGAAAAGGCTAAATGTGTCCAGCCCAGTTGTTATTCCCCCAGGGCAGGTAAAGCACCCTTCCTTCCTCTTTCTCTTGTCTCTGAGCCAGAACCTCAGGCCCAGCCTGGCTGTGTGGTGGTGATTGCACTCCTTGACCTCTCTGGGCCTGTCTGTGCATCTCTAAACTCCAATCCCTCTGCTTTAGCTCAGTGCATCTGTGGTCTTCCTCTCCATCCATACTAACTCAATCAACGCCCCCCCCCCCCCCAAATCCCACACAGCTTAGTCCCAAGAAGGTTTGACTCTATTTAGACGAGTTCTGTGACAAAGCTGTGTCTTGCTCTCTGAATATTCATGGGCTCCCCCACATTCTCAAGCCATCTTGCGTTAAGTGGGGCCTGGTGACCACCTCTGACCAATGATTGCTTCTTGGCTGAGCACAGAAAAGCAGGCAAGATTCTCCATACATTCTCTCCTCCTGCCACCTGGGAGGTGAGCCCAGAGGTCTCACATTACAGATCTGCACTGCTGAGTGTGGTCGCAACTAGCCACATCTGGCCATTTAAATTAGAAAAACTACAAGGAAATTTAAAATTCTATTTCTTAGTCACACTAACCTCATTTCAAGTACTTGGTAGCCACATGTGAGTAGCACAGATTGCATTGCCCAGCACATACAGGACATGCATCATTGCAGGAAGTTCTCTGGGACAACACAATTCCATGTGGTAAAGCTACAAGATGTCAGGTCACCATCAGCCTGGGCCTCCCACCAACTCACAATGACATGTAGCATGAGCTAAACATAAACTTGCATTATGTGGAGTCATTAACATTTCAGTGTAGAGCTGCTGCTCCCACAGCGCCCAGCCTACCCTGATCAGCAAAGCCTACCTGCATGAAATGAACAGGGACAGCAAAAACAGGCAGATACCATATGCAGTCCAAATAACCCATGCAATAGAGTCAACACCGTGCTGGCTTGTGGGGGCAGCTGCCTGAAACACCATCACGGGACAGGTCCTGGAGAAGTAAAACTGGGCTGGGCTTTGGAAAGTGGGCAGGGTTCACATCGCCTTGTGGTTTTCTATCTGTGAGAATTTTTGGTTGCCCACCTGGGAAAGCTAGGCAAGGAGGGCAGGCATTCCAGCAGGAGCACTACCATGGGCAAAACACAGAGCAAAAATGTTGCTAAGAACACAAAAGGACTGGTCCATGCTATTTTCCTGGGGGATGGCCAGGGAACCTTGGGAAGCTCAGGAGATAAGTCAGATGGGAATTAAGAAGTGAGGTTCTCTGTATGTTTTCACCCAGAGCTGGCTAAGAGTAAGGTAGAGCATGTAGAAAATGAAGGATAAACTAATGTTGTCATTGCTGGTGGCCAAGGGTGGGGTTGACATCAGGAATGACAGGCCAGAATTGAATAACCAGGGGTGCAGAGTTTGACTGGGAAGTGTGAGGATTTAGAGATGGCATTTTGCTTATGGAATAATCAGTTAATTGGCCATTAATCCACAACAGAACTAGTTATCCCCAGAGCCTCTCCCTTCCGAGTTCTAAGCTCACCTTTCCAAGACTCTCCTTCACTTCCCCAGTGAAATGACTTCACCACAGCAGTCTCCTATCTCTTCCTCCAACTCATCCTGCATCCCAGCACCAGGCAAGACTCCCAATATTTACCTGGGTCACGCCTCTGCGCAAAGGCCTTTCAGGTTCTCCAACGAAAGCCAACCTCCTCAGTCTGCCATTTGAGACCTTCCACTCTGGCTCCAATATGCACTGCCAGATTTCTCACTGCTCCCTTGGCACAACCCCCAACTGTGCCAAATGGATACCCCCTTTGCTGCCTCTGCCCCTTACTCCTATCAGATTCCTCCTGTCCCATGAAGCCTTCCCTTCTTGAGGATTCTCTTGTCCTGCCATCTCACTTTTCTTCTGCTGCCAATGGGGAGAGGTTCAGAAACGCAGACCTCAGCGTTGAGGGCTGGGCCAGCTTCTCCACTATTGGCTAAGGAGCCCTGGGCAAGTCACTTAACCTCTCTGAACCTCACTGAAGTGAAGATAGTCCACGGAATGGCTAAAGTCTGAGAAATCACTTTGTGAAAGCAGACTCCGATGGGAGGGATCACGTTATATTTCTTAGCCTCTTTTCATGCACACATCTCGCCTACTTTGTTCCCCTCCCATAGCATCTCGTTCACAATAAAGTCTCACCCCAAATGGCAGGTGGGAGGCACTGGAGGCCTCTGGGTGAAGCATTTCTGGCATCCACAGAACCCCGTGGGAGCTGCAAACTTCACTCCTCCTTCCCACCTCGGTCTGCACATCCCTAAAACAAGAGGGTTGGGTGAGGAGGTCGGGCCAACACTGCCCCTGACCGTCTTGTGGGCCATGACAGGATTCAGAGCAGTGGGTTCCCCAGAGGAAGCCTGAGATCAAGGAGCAGAAAGAAGCCAGAGTTCCTGTTTCTAGCTGTTCCCTGGGAAGTGTTCATGGGAGAGAAATCCATGAAAAGGGAGGTTGGGAGTCAGTGGCATGGACTTGTGTTTCCATTTCCTGGGACTTGTGTTTCCATTGCAGGGATGAGGTCTGCACACCCCAACTTCTGACTTCCCCTGAACTGTGGCCCGGCCAGCAGCTTCCTATCTATACCCTGAATAAAATCTGAAACCTTTACTGCCACCCACAAGGCCCTGTGCCATCTGTCCCTCGCCAATCTCCCTCACCCATCCCCCTCCACACCCCACCCGCACTCTCTGTGTCCTGGTGTCCTGATGGTCTTCTGCTCCTGGAACGGTCTTCTCCCTTCTCCTGCGGGCTCTTTCTCAGCTTTAAATCCTACACAACCCTGGCGAATGCCCACCTATGCTTCAGGTCCCAGCACAAAGGTGGCTTCCCCAGAGCCCTAACTATCATCCCCCTCCATAGTTTGGGGTCCCTGTTATATGCTCTCATGGCTCACAGTTTTTTTCTCTCCATAGTTCTTTCACAGTTCATAATTACATGTTGGAACACATTTGTTTAATGTCTGTCTCCCCTAACAGA